TTTTTTTTGCACCCTCAGATTCCAGATTTTCAAATAGTTGTATCTCGAACAGATATAGTCCTATCCTAACAAACCTTACATCAATGGAAAGCTTATTTATTCAGCTTTCAGAAGATGTATAAATCTCAATTTCGTAAAATTGACGCTTATGACTGGTTTTGTGGTCCAGGGTCACAAATGGTTAGGGTTTGGCTTAGGGTTACCTGCATGTAATTATGCATAATTAATTGTTGTTATAATAGTAAGTACATCTAACATGTGTAACAAGGACACCTTAAAATAAAGTGTTACCAAATCTCTTTATTTTTACAGTTTTATATTTTATCAAGTTAATTTCCCCCCAAAATTGATTCATTTTCAAATTATTTATTTGTAATAAATTTAGTAAATATGATATGAAATAGATATTATTTTTATTGCGGCAGTTGTTATGCATTTGTTATTTAATATCATTAATTTAATTAGTGTGATATTGGCTTTATACCGGGTGTTGGACACCCAGCTCTCTGAGATGATTGATTTAATGGGTGAATCAAACACTGGAGACACAACAAGGACAAGTAGTGTTTAATCGTACTTGTCCTGATTCAGTTTTAGTTGAATGAATATAATATACAAGAAGTGTATAACAGAACTGTACTAGAGGTTTCGTACATGCAGTTTAATGTAACATTAAACCTGAAACGTCTTCTGCAGGTGCTGATAAACCGCCTGGAAAAGAACAGAGGGATGAAGCCAGAGGAGAGAGCCAACATCATGAAGACTCTCAAAGAACTGACAGAAAAGATATCTCAGCTGAAGAATGAGATCAGCCCGACCTCACAAGCTGCTGCAAACACGACACAAACAAAGTCAAAAACAGATGTAAGACAATTCTTATATAGCAGGTGTTACTGCTGAAAGTAGCTTCCGGTGGCACAGATTACAGTCATAACTGTCTCTGTAGTTACATAGATTGTCACCTTCGTTTTATAAGATCTTTCTGCATTTAAGTATAACTATTATTTCATCTGTAGGCACAGAAAGAGTTGCTTGACGCGGAGTTGGACTTCCATAAGAAGCTGACGTCAGGAGAAGACACCACAGACCTGAAGAGGAGGTTGGGTCAGTTGCAGGTGGAGGTAAGTGCCACGTTCTGTCGCTGTGACCTGTGACATCTGATATGGGTTTTTCAGTGGCCGATGCTGGTATCTAGTTGAGTGGGTTAATTAAAAGAAAGTTTTCGAATTAAAATAAATTAATTATAGTTTGCATGAAGGAAATGAAGCCTGTCACAGTTTCCGTGATAATTAAAAGTTTAGTTCACCCAAAAATGAGAATTAGCCCATAAATTACTCACCCTCAAGTCATGCTAGGTGTATATGACTTTCTTCTTTCAGACGAATCCAGTCTGAGTTATATAAAAAATTGTCTTTGATCTTTCAAGCTGTTTCATGGCACTCAGCGGGTGTTGCATGCATCAGTCCAAAAGAAGTTAAATAAAAAGCGCCCATCCATAAAAAAAAAAGTGTCTCACACGGCTCCGGGGGGTGAACAAAGGCCTTCTGTAGCGAATCGATGCGTTTTTGTAAGAAAAATATCCATATTCAAAACGTAATAATCACTTTAATGAAGCTTGCGCCAACAGTTGTACACGGAAGCAGTTCCGGGCAGATGATGTAAGATGTCGGCACTGCGCATGCACCAGTGAGTCTCGTGAAAACCAACGTTTGTTAACAGGAGCAAAGGAAGCAAAGTTTCCTTACTTTAGCAAAGGAAAACCAGTCTCCTATTGGCTTATATCAAAATCCTCCGACATTCTTCTTTACAAATCCTCGTTTTGTACTTCTAATAAGTGACCGTTGTTTTGTTTTGATCTCTCCCCTGAGCTTCCGCGTTCGTCACTTCTGAGCGGCGCATGCACAAAGCTGACCT